AAAAATTAGGAAAAACGGCGTCAGAAACGTTTCAAATGTTGAAATTGGCGTTCGGGGAGGCAGCCTTATCAAAATCAAAAACGTTTAAGTGGTTCGCCCGTTTCAAATCTGGTAGAGAGTCAACCCAAGATGACGCCCGCCAGGAAAGACCTTTGGAAAATCATGAAGAACTATCCCAAAAATTGGTACTTTAATAAGGGAAACACTAGAAACAACGATCAGAGAACTAGTAAAAGAAACAGGGGTTTCATAACGTGTCAAAAAATATTGACCGAGGATCTTGGACTTGAACGAAAGTTTTCGAAATTTGTTCCAAAAAATGCTTCATCACGATAACGCCCCAGCACACAGAACTCTTTCCGTGGGTGATTTTTGACTAAAAATAGCATGTTGATAATGCCTCATACTCCGTACTCGCCTGATTTGGCACCAAATGATTTTTTTCTTTTTCCTAGAATGAAGTCTGTTCTAAAAGGACACAGATTTGATACCGTTAATGCCATAAAGGAAAAATCGCTGAGCGTTTTGAAGGGCATTACTTCTGACGAATTTTCTGGATGTTTTCGGAACTGGGAAAAAAGAATGAAACGCTGTATAGATTCCCTCGGATATATTTTGAGGAATATTTACAATTTTTTGTATATATTCATCTAATAAATCTTTCATGACCCAATTACCCGAATTTTATTATCATACCTTGTATATATGTGAAATGAAGATTTAAAGGACCATATTTTATAGAGAATTTTACATAAAATACCAACTTATACTCTAAAAACCTGGTTATCCCTTTAGGGTCACCTTTTACAGATATTGAAATTTTAAACATTTATCTTTTTAAAAAAAAATGTTGATCATTTTTGCAATTCATATTAATTATTCACAATACCTACAATAATATGAAAATTGCGGTCCAAAAATGTCATTTCGGGCAAGTGATTAAAGAGTTAATCCTTTCCTTTATATATATATACTAGGTTACTCTTGTTGAGCTGTATCTAGTACCTTATCATTGGAGATTTGGTCTTATTACCTTGTGTTTATAGTCTATAATCCAAATTGTACCTTATCATTGGAGATTTGGTCTTATTACCTTGTGTTTATAGTCTATAATCCAAATTGTACCTTATCATTGGAGATTTGGTCTTATTACCCTGTGTTTATAATCTATAATCCAAATTGTACCTTATCATTGGAAATTTGGTCTTATTACCTTGTGTTTATGATCTATAATCCAAATTGTACCTTATCATTGGAGATTTGGTCTTATTACCCTGTGTTTATAATCTATAATCCAAATTGTACCTTATCATTGGAGATTTGGTCTTATTACTTGTGTTTATAATCTATAATCCAAATTGTACCTTATCATTGGAAATTTGGTCTTATTACCTTGTGTTTATAATCTACTAGACGAATGACCTGGGCAACGCCCGGGTTTACACGATGAAATGTATATTACATATGGAAGATGGACGTAGTTCCCGGAGGTCACCCGCGAGGCTTTTTTCTTGTCTACTTGGCACAGCTGTGTCACCAACTCTGCCCCCGCGCGCCAGGACCTCTTGATCGGTGGTCGGTGGGAACTTGGACTGTCCAACCAGCCGGCAGCCGGACGATCACATTTTCTCGGCGGGGGGGGAGGGGTGGTCAGGGGGCAGGGAAGTCACGTGCTCGCCGGCAGCCAACGGGCGCCCCCCGCCGTCAAATCGCCAAGCGTTCTAGAGGGCGCTGCTCGTGAGCTAAGTAGAATAATTTGAATATATAGTTTTAATAATTGATTTATATATTTTTTAAATAGCCTATCGTCATCCCCGTTATTTTTACCTATGTATGGAAATTTTGGTTTGAATTAGTGAACTACTGCGAATTTGTATACAGGTCATACCAACAGACAAACAAACATACAAACATTCATTTTTATATATATAGATAGATATATAAAAATGAAATCCAAAATCAATGTTTGTTATCGCGTTGCACAAAATCTACAGAATCAACCATTATGAAATTTCGCATGTTAGGCTATTCAAAAAACTAAAAAGGTTAAAGTGCTTTTTTTAATGTAAAACCAAAAAGTGTTAGTTCCAGCCTTTTACCGCTTGGCGGCAGCACTGGTCGCGACGATAAATTAATTTGATTGGTTAATAATTTTACACGTAGTTTATTTATACGATGAATGTTAGTCTGTTTACACGATTAATGTTTTTAAAAGGTAAGATTACCCAAGCCGTGAAACTTTAGGAAGTTATTTACTATACTACTGGGAAGGTTTCTGGTTTGAATTTGATTTGAAATAAATATTCTTTACAATTTTATTTGCAAATTTTCTACTTTCACTCGCAAGCAGCGCCTCTCGTGGCTTCTGGTGAAATTACATTTATAAATTGTAAAAATGCAAAAATGTGTTCCACAAGTATAATAAATTAGATATTTAATTCGAGAATTTAGTAATATAATATTCTAATGACGTTGTAAAAAAACTTGGCATATTAATATCCTTATCCTTATATCTATAAAAATGAAATGCGAAATCGATGTTTGTTATCGCTTCACGCAAAATCTACTGACTCAATCATTATGGAATTTCGCATGTAGGTAGCTGAAGATTTCGTTTAACATATAGGCTATTCAAAAAACTATAAAAGTGAATGTGCTTTTTTTTTTAAATAAAAAACCAAAAAGCGTTAGTTCCAGCCTTTTACCGCTTGGGCGCAGCACTGGTCGCGACGATAAATGAATTTGATTGGTTAATAATTAACACGTGGTTTGTTTACACGATGAATGTTAGTTTGTTCACACGATGAAGGTTTTTAAAAGGTAAGATTATCCAATCGCCGTGAAACTTTAGGAAGTTATTTACTATACTACTGGGAAGATTTCTGGTTTGAATTTGATTTGTAATAAATATTCTTTGCAATTTTATTTGCAAATTTTCTACTTTCACTCGCAAGCAGCGCCTCTAGCGGCGTCTGGTGAAATTATATTTATAAATTGTAACAATGCTAAAAATGTTTTCCAAGTATAATAAATTTAATTTGAGAATTTAGTAATATAATATTCCAATGACGTAAAAAATACTTGGCATTTCAATATCTCTTCTCTATATATATATAAATGAATGTTTGTATGTTTGTCTGTCTGTATGTCCGGTATACAAATTCGCAATAGTTCACTAATTCAAACCAAAATTTCCATACATAGGTAAAAGAATACGGGGAAGATGATAGGCTATTTTAAAAAATATATAAATCAATTATTAAAACTATATATTTTTAGTCAGAAAATGATGATGACGATATTGCTGTATCATGTTTGATTATCAGATACAAAATTATATCGGGAAAAATTCCAAAAAGCAGAGACCACGGGTGAAACCAGTTCATTATTTTGTATGCAGGAACAAAATTCTAACAGAAAAACATTCATTCGAGCAGAAAACAAAAGCCAGATCATCTTTCTATAAAAATATCGCTTCTCAAACACAAAGTTTGGAGCGGGACGTTTCAAAAGAGTGACATCCACGGCGCCAATTTATAATTGTAACGAATAGTAATTGAATAGGGTACATTTAATAGGGTAAAACCCGGGCGTTGCCCGGGTCATTCGGCTAGTTAATATATATATTTTTTAAATATCTTATTTGAAATTTAATAAATGTTTAAAAAAAAATTATGTGTTAAAATATATTTAAATGCATGTAACAATATTTATATACGTTTATAAATCTATATATAGGTGGATTGGATGTTTTCCAGAATATTTTTCAAAAATGTTCGTTTGGCAAACTTTTACTCGGGTAAAAACCTGGCGAAGCCGGGTACATTCGCTAAATACAGTTATTTACAAATATTCGTTTGTGGCAAGATACTATTCTTTCAACTTCAAATTACCGAGTGGACCAATTAATATTGATTTTATTCAACTTATCCAGTATTTTTCAACGGACCGGGAAAAAATTTCAAATTATCGAGAGTATAGACATGTGTAGATTCAGTAGGGATTGGATGTTTGCTAGAATCGTTTTAACAAATGTTCGTTAGGCAAACTTTTACTCGGGTAAAAACCGGGCGATGCCGGGTCATTCGTCTAGTTTTAATAATATAAATTAGTTTTAAAAATTGTAAAAAATAAATAAATGCATCGACCGGGAATCGAACCCGGGCCGCCCGCGTGGCAGGCGAGCATTCCACCACTGAACCACTGATGCTTATAAGAAATGGCCATATTTGGGTATTTATTCCATTCACAAAAGCAAACGGTGACAGAATTGTTGATGACTCTGATAACTGTATATATTAATCGTCATTTAATTTTTTTTTTCAAAATTTTCCTTCTCAAATTTTAGTTTACTTTGAAGTTACAATAATATATACTTGAGAATTTTTTATAAAGCTATTTTGTATTTGGTCAATTATTTTGTTGTAATCACAAGCCTGTGATGTATATAAATAGAAGGAAGGTGAATATACTGAATGATTCTATTATATAGAAGACTGTTAGAGTCGCTGGAAGGATGGTCTAAACCGCTGGTTTTCGACCGCTACGACCCGATCTCGTTTCCCACATTTAGCACTTTTTCCTGATTGAAAAAAAAAATGCTACAATGGCCCCCGATTATTGCAAAGGTCCAACCCCACCAGCGAGTGCAAGTAACCAAACGGGGCTCTGGCACATTTGTAAGTGCAAAGTCGAACTGCTTTTCACATGTACACATGTGGTTGCAATAACAGTAAAAGCAGTTGACTACTTCTACCCACCATGATTATCATGGCCTGTACCATGTGTACTAGGGATAATCAAACAAACAAACAGACTGTTAGTTCTTATTTTTATAGTTTTCCAATGAAAAAACCTTAATACACCTTATTTATTGACCTAACCTTGTTTGTATGAATGTATGGGAGTTGACAATGCGAGAAGTCCAAATTACAACAACACATGTATCATGTCTTTTTAAGATTAAAAAAAGGTAAATATATAATCCGATAAAAAAAAAATCCCTCGAGCCGGATTTGAGCCAGCGCCTTAATATTAATATCTGCCCTGATTTTCCAACTTAACTATCGAGGGGTGATTGAATTGACCTAATAAGGTTTAATTAAACTGAATGGAATCAATAATATTTTTTCGATTATATCCTTTTTACATATTTTATTATTTCAAAATACATACACATATTCACTAAAAATTATTTATAACTAGCCGAATGACCCGGGCAACGCCCGGGTTTTACCCGATTAAATGTTATTATTCAAATACTATTCGTTACAATTATAAATTGGCACCGTGGATGTCACTTTTGTGAAACGTCCCGCTCCAAACTTTGTGTGTTTTTAAAATATAAAAATAAATATGTAAAATATCTCAACGATATTTGAAAATTAAATTATTTTGATTTTCAAATACTATTCGTTACAATTATAAATTGACGCCGTGGATGTCACTCTTGTGAAACGTCCCGCTCCAAACTTTGTGTCTGAGAAGCGATATTTTTATAGAAAGATGATCTTGTCAAATTATATTGACAAATATTTGCATATTGCAAGTTGAATCATCTGACGCAACGGGAGACGGAAGCGTAAAACGCCCGCGAATCAGTGAACCTCCTTGCAACCTTGAGTTTAATCATCTAAAGGTCATTCACCAGAAAGTCACCAAGAAAATGGCTGACGTAGCTAAGTCCAACGGCATGACGCCGGAGCAGCTCCAGCCAATGCTTTCCCTGGTGGAATGGGCCCTGAAAGGCACAGATGATATCATCTTTGATGTCTATAATGGCATAAACCACGGAAAAGAATATCAACTACACAAGGAAAAACTCTACACCAACGCCGTTGCCAAACCAAATACCAAAAAAACCTACCCCTCCTCCAATAAAGCAATTGACTAAACCAGCCTCCAAAAATTTCGCAGCCGCCTATGAGTCCCATGTGGTCATTAAATCAAGCAACCCAGCTACAGACTCTCGAGAAATATTACGCGAGATCCAAAAAGCAGACTCATCAATTCTGAACTCCCCCGAAGTGGCAGCCTCCGTTAATGGGAAAGGACGGCTGGTAATTCACACTAAAACCATCCAAGGTGCATCAACTCTAGCGGCCAGACTCCAGGCCAACAAAAACATCCCAAAATCCCTAAACTGCACGGAAAGACCAACAATATATCCCAGATATTGCTTATTTGGCTTGGAGTGCTCCACGACCAACGATATGATAGTGGGAATCCTCCAAAACAACGATTTTATAAAAATTCTCCCAGGAAAAAGGCACATCAAGGTTGCCCACCGCCCAAAGGACAATCCCCATGGGTACACTACAGTCTTCCTGGAAGTAGACGATCAGACGGCTAATTTCCTAGAGCATCGAGGTAAGATGCCTATAGCAGGTTTAATTTTACGCTACGAAAGAAGCTACTCCCTGAAGCAATGCTACCGCTGCTGCAGCTTCGGCCACCGCGCTACTTCATGCCCTGCTGCCCAACCTATCTGCTACAAATGTGGTACGACAGGTCACGAGGGCCACGCCTGTCCCAACACTTCAGCAAAATGTCACAATTGCTGCAAGAAGGCCGGCGCTGTTTTTGAGCAGCTCAATCACTACGCGACATCCCGGGCTTGTCCTCTGGTGAAGGCCAAGCTGGCTCAACTCAACAAGAATGCATAGATCCTTCAGAGTTCTCCAATCCAACCTTAGGAAATCGCCTTCTGCAGTCCTCGAACTCTCCACCATTGCAATAGAACAAGAGGTAGACGCTATTTTACTCCAAGAATTACCAAAGAACTTTAAATGGCCTGATTCAAGCTTTGACACATTCATCCCAAATGAAAACAATGCACCTTCTGGGCTTGTAATACGATCAAATCTAAACGCCATTCCACTTAGCTCACCTGATCCAAACATCTCCACGGCCCTCATCCGGTTAGGCAACCAGGCTGTTGTCCTCGCTTCGGCGTACTGGCACAACAGTGTCCCGGATTTATCTTTCCTACCAACCTTGGAATCTGCAATAAACATAGGATCCTTCTCATGCATTCTTGGCATGGACGCCAACGCCCACTCTCCAACCTGGGGTATTGGAGCTACCCGCGACGCCCGTGGGGCCAGCCTGGAGGACTCTGCTTCACTGATGGGCCTACAGTTCTTGGGATCTCCCAACCATTACACCTGGTCCAACGGATCCCTGCGCTCTTCCATCGACGTTACCCTAGCATCCAGCTCGCTAGCCATTCACGCCACTAGATCATGTCTCCAGGAGATGGCTTTCTCTGATCATCTGCCAATCCTTACAAATTTCAATGACATCATTTCCACAGAGCCTATTTGCTCATGGGTTGAGACTTCATGTCTGGAAGAGACCTTCACTGCCTTCATTGGGTCCAGCCTCCACCATGTCACATCGCGTCTCCAGACCGCATTCACTCCAGGCGACATTGATGAGGTGGTTACTCTCCTCACTACCTGTCTTCAGGAGGCCTGCAATGTCTCCATGAGAAAGAAATCAAAATCTCCAAGGCCTTCAAGACCATGGTGGAACAAGGAGCTTTCAAAACTCCGCAATTTAGTTGTTGCTTTACGACGTTGCTATCAAAGCACCTCCTTTTATATCAGGAGCTTCTTTAAAGGTCTTTATAGAGCCTGCCACAACAAACTCAAGGCGGCTATAAGGCGAGAAAAGCATCTCTCCTGGATAACACTGTGCCAAGAGGTCTCCTCGGCCGCATGGAGCTCCATCCACCGATATATCTTCAAAGGCCGAAGAGGTTCTCTTGGGCCACCTCTGCTCAAACACAACGACGGCACTCCACTCACCCCAGAGGAAACCTGCCATGAAGTACTTCAGCACTATTTTCCAACAGACTGGACAGCGCCAACCCCATCAATTGATTGGCTCCAACCCTACAACCAAGAACCAGCCTTTACAGTGTCTGAAGTCCTTCGCGCGATCCGTCGATGCGGTCGGAGGAAATCCCCTGGTCCCGACAGGCTAGGTACCAGATGCCTTCTTCTTGGTGGGCCAACGCTGCATAAAACACTGTCACAAATTTTCACCAAATGCTTACGTCTCGGACACTTCCCAACACCCTGGAAATCCGGTCGGTTAGTTCTCATACCCAAACAAAACTCTTCTTCCTCCAACCAACTGGAGAAATACCGTCCCATCACGCTACTCAATGCCTTGGCCAAAGTCCTTGAACGGTGTATACTGGCGCGCCTGCAATGGATAGCGGATTACCAAGGCTGGTTCTCGCCCCAGCAGTTTGGCTTCCTTCCAGGGCGCTCAGCTGAAATGGCGCTCGATTCCATTAACAACAACATCAGTGAAGGCCTGCAGCACTGGAGGAAGACCTTGGCTATTGGTCTGGACATCAGCCATGCCTTCGACACCGTTCAAAGACACACCATCATTCAAGGCCTCCGCGACCTTAACTGCCCAGAAGAGTTGATTCAACTGTCCGCGAGCTTCCTCCGAGGAAGGCAGGTAATTTAAAACGCTTGGAACGCCACCCTTACCTCTACTACTCTACTTGGGGTCCCCCAAGGTGCAGCACTGAGCCCCTTCTACTTCAACATAGTGGCTAGGAAAATCCATCTCCTTCCAAGGCCAAACAAAAGTGAAATCATCAGTTTCGCAGACGATTTCACGGTACTGATTCACTTCCTCCGCAGATTCCCAACACGAGAGATCAATCAATTCCTAAAACAGCTCTTTCATTGGGGCAAGACTCAGGGGCTAACATTCAACCCAAGGAAAACCCAAGCCTGCCTCTTCCATTGGAAAGCCAAGCGTCCAGGCTATCTCGGGATACATTTCCAAAACCAACCTATTCTAATTGATAACACTATAAAAATCCTCGGTGTTACCTTTGATTCCAAAAGAAACTTCGTAAGTCACTTGGACAACATCCTCAAGAGGTGCAGGTGGATTCTCCCTCGACTAACCAGCACGATCCAGGGGCAGTTCGGATTAACCTTCAGCGCGGGCCGAAAAATACATAACATGGTGATCTTCCCAGCTATCCTCTATGGCTCTGGGGTTTGGGGCAAGCGGGCGTTCGACACCAATGGCATCCGGAAGCTACGTGGCCTCCATTACAAATACGCTAAAGCTTTAATCAGAGGAGGCCCGTGTACTCCAACTATCCCAGCAATCTCCCTCACAGGTTGTCCTCCACTGGATATATCTATCAAATCCCATCTAGCATACTTGGAAGCGCTAAGAGAAGGCCCTTTTGAGTCACGTCCCAGTCCCTCCTCGGTACCCTACCCACCTCTTAGAAGACCTCTCCAATTCTCCAAGTCACTGCCAGAACGGGCCACTATTGTTTATACAGATGGCTCTCGGTCAACCAATGGGGTTGGCGCAGCAGTGGTGCTCCCACCTCCCTATTCACCACTGAAACTTAAACTCCACAACAGCTGTACCTCCTTCCAGGCGGAACTTTTGACGATTCTTTATGCCACCAGATCTATTAGAATCATGCCGCGACAAGACTTTGTCATTGCTTCCGACTGCCAGGCAGCTCTACATGCCATCTGTCACCCCGATATCCCTAGAACCCCACTTACTGCAGAGATAATCAGAAACCTCAATACTCTGGACAATGTTCAACTCTGCTGGGTCCGGAGTCATTGCGGCATCGTTGGAAATGAACAGGCTGATGAAGTCGCCAAAGCCGCAGCTCAATCCAAATTGCCTTTACACTTCGCAACCCTTCCTAGGAAATATGTCCGCTCTCAAAGCAAACAGTTCGCCCTCCAACTATGGACCGACCTCTACACCACAGACCATGCTACAAGAAACCTCAGAAGAGTAGCGGCATCTCCTAGTCTTCTAATCTCAATTCTCCCAAAACTAAAATATTGCAACGTCACCTCTACAATTCTGACAGGACATGGCTTCGTTCAAATGACATCGCCAGAACCTCCAAAAACAACGACCCCGTATGCCAACACTGTCACCAAGAAAATCAAACAGTCGACCACCTCCTATTCAGTTGCCCATCCTACCATCTTCAGAGATTCCAGACCGCAACTCTACTTAACACCAGCACATTCAACCAAGAAGCACTGAAGAACCTCCCCAAAAAAAAAACAGCCTGGCGACATCTAATCAGTTGGATGTCAACTGCAACAAATAGACAATAAGTCAGAAGACAAACCCGGACAGTTGGCGACTTTCGTACGCTCCAGGAGTCCGGGTTATGTACAGAATAATAATAATAATGGGTCGAGACGGCGAGTGTTGTGGATTATCGTGTGGGGACGCTTAAAGTGTTCTCTGCGTGCTATATCCCTGTCTGGCAATCTCTTCGCATACCTGTGTAACCCCGGTTCAACCCCTACCTGAGCAGCAATAAAGCTTAGTACTGTTTTTTAATTTTATTTAACAAATTGTGATCTATTATTTATTTATTTTTTTGATGTTGTACTTTTGAGTCCACCATTTTCCTGTGTTTAAGTTACTCTTACTGTAGGCCCTAGTATATTGTATCTTGTGTTAACCCGTAATAAGTAACTTTTGTCAATCTGGCTTTTGTTTTCTGCTCGAATGAATGTTTTTCTATTAGAATTTTGTTCCTGCGTACAAAATAATGAACTGGTTTCACCCGTGGTCTCTGCTTTTAGGATTTTTTCTCGATATAATTTTGTATCTGATAATCAAACATGATACAGCAATATCGTCATCATCATTTTCTGACTAAAAATATATAGTTTTAATGATTGATTTATATATTTTTTTAAATAGCCTACCGTCTTCCCCGTATTGTTTTACCTATGTATGGAAATTTTGGTTTGAATTAGTGAACTACTGCGAATTTGTATACCGGACATACAAACAAACATACAAACATTCATTTTTATATATATAGAAGAAGAAGATAGAAGATATATATAGTTATAGGATGATATAAAAACATGTTTAGTCATATAGAGAGATATTTATAACCCAATTTTTTTATTCTAAATGTAAAAGTAATGTTTCCATACAGAAACGTTTCCATTGTTACTAAAACGTCAAGCCTCTTGAAACAAAACAAATTCAGTAAAATATATCTGTAGTCTTTTTTGATATTAAAATATATTCGTAAACGTTCTATTTCGGATTGTCAAGAAAAAAAGAATGTTTATCGCTGGACTACACTATTTATGTTTTTAAAATGTTTAATAAAATATTTGTTTACCTATAAGATGATATTTTCATGTTTCATATATTTTATATGACAGATGATATATAGTTCTTGAAAATAAAGATACCTCAGCCAGTAATTCTTTTTTGTTACCTCGACCTTTCAACAAAAATCTTCGATATATTCATGAATACTATTTAGAGTTATAATGATATAGTCATAATGATAATATTTATGAAAACACCATTCGTCTGAAAACATTCACTCGGGAAGAAGCCGAGAGATACTGGGTCATTCAGCGAATGTATAATTAGTATTATGATCACATTTTATAACTCACAAATATGTGAAGTAGTTTGTTATTTGTCTCATTTTTCAGATTTTGAATGGATCTAATCTATATATTCAGCTGATAGTAATCTTTAATATTTATTCAATACTAGACGAATGGCCCGGGCAACGCCCGGGTTTTACCCGAGTGCGCATATATTTTAAAAACGTTTTAATTCAAATATTATTCGTTACAATTATAAATTGGCGCCATGGATGTCACTCTTGTGAAACGTCCCGTTCCAAACTGTGTGTTTTTAAAATGTTTTAATTAAAATACTATTCGTTACAATTATAAATTGGCGCCGTGGATGTCTCTCTTGTGAAACGTCCCGCCCCAAACTGTGTGTGTCTTGAAAATATAAAAATAAAAATGTGAATTTTCATAAATATTTCATCATGTCGATTTTCTTTTTGCATTTCACCTACTAAATCGATAGAGATAATTACATTTGCAACATGAACTTAGGTATATTGACTAAATAGAAAACTGCATAGTAATAAAGATCATTTTTTAAAGGCACCATATCGTTTTTTTTTTCAATAAAATCGAAACAAAAATTAACGATAAATAACGATAATTGCCTTAAAAAGAAATTGCCTTAAAAAAAAAGAAACATTCGCGGTGATTTTGTCTTGCATTCGTTTATACAATTATTATATACGAATGACCCGGGCAACGCCCGGGTTTTACCCGATTAAATGCTTTTATTCAAATACTATTCGTTACAATTATAAATTGGCGCCGTGGATGTCATTCTTGTATAATATATAAATGAGTTTTAAAAATTGTAAAAAAAAAAATGCATCGGCCGGGAATCGAACCCGGGCCGCCCGCGTGGCAGGCGAGCATTCTACCACTGAACCACCGATGGTTATGAAAAATCCCATCCGTGAGCTTCAAACAGACAAACAGACAGAATAAGGCAAATATATAAGTAGATTACAAAATGTGTTGTACGGTTTCAATCTCCTTTATAGATTTCAGGCTCAAAACTAAGGACAAAAGATTTTTGTGAAAACGTCGAGTTAATAAAAAGATTTACTGGCCTAACTATCTTTATTTTCAAGAACTATGAATGCCGGCCAAGCAGCCTCTATCTTTAAAATGATATCTACTTATATATTTGCCTTATTCTGTCTGTTTGTCTGTTTGAAGCTCACGGATGGGATTTTTCATAACCATCGGTGGTTCAGTGGTAGAATGCTCGCCTGCCACGCGGGCGGCCCGGGTTCGATTCCCGGCCGATGTATTTTTTTTTTTTTTTTACAATTTTTAAAACTCATTTATATATTATACAAGAATGACATCCACGGCGCCAATTTATAATTGTAACGAATAGTATTTGAATAAAAGCATTTAATCGGGTAAAACCCGGGCGTTGCCCTGGTCATTCGTATATAATAATTGTATAAACAAATGCAAGACAAAATCACCGCGAATGTTTCTTTTTTTCAAGGCAATTTCTTTTTAAGGCAATTATCGTTATTTATCGTTAATTTTTGTTTCGATTTTATTGAAAAAAAAAACGATATGGTGCCTTTAAAAAATGATCTTTATTACTATGCAGTTTTCTATTTAATCAATATACCTAAGTTCATGTTGCAAATGTAATTATCTCTATCGATTTAGTAGGTGAAATGCAAAAAAAAAAAAAAAAAAAGAAATCTTTATGAAAATTCACATTTTTATTTTTATATTTTCAAGACACATACAGTTTGGGGCGGGACGTTTCACAAGAGAGACATCCACGGCGCCAATTTATAATTGTAACGAATAGTATTTTAATTAAAACATTTTAAAAACACACAGTTTGGAACGGGACGTTTCACAAGAGTGACATCCATGGCGCCAATTTATAATTGTAACGAATAGTATTTGAATTAAAACGTTTTTAAAATATATACGGACTCGGGTAAAACCCGGGCGTTGCCCGGGCCATTCGTCTAGTATAATATAATGGATGTTTCCTTAGTTTTGAGCCTGAAATCTATAAGGGATTGAAACCGTTCAACACATTTTGTAATATTAAATAAATATTAAAGATTACAATCAGCTGAATATATAGATTAATATATTAAAAATAAAAAGGCATATCCTGACCAGGAGCACATGTGTTTTCAGAAGGCAGAGCGCCATCTGGTGGAACAGAAATCAACTAAACATTGATTTAGCCTGTTCCCTGATATTTGGTCGCAGTGGTACAGCCTTCTCCACGCTGACGAGCGCCAACAGCGCGAAACGCGTTCGTGGATTGCTTTTCTTGATTTATCAAGAAATTGGGATGGCCAAATATCAGGGAAAGGCTAAATCAATGTTTAGTTGATTTCTGTTCCACCAGATAGCGCTCTGCCTTCTGAAAAGCCCCTGTCCTCCTGTTCAGGATATGCCTTTGTTATTTTAAACATCAACACCTGACCTTTTTATTATTTTTTCCATTGTTTTTTTTTTCATAGATTAATATATAATCAATTAAAAACCTGGAATGAGACAAATAACAAACTACTTTACATATTTGTGAGTTATAAAACGTTCATAATTATTATTATACATTCACTAAATGACCCAGCTTTTCTCGGCTTCTTCCCTAGTGAATATTTCCCAGACGAATGGTGTTCTTATAAATATTATCATTATGATTATATATCTAATTAGTTTATCATAAGTTTATCATATTATCATCATATTCTTGTGATTTTTTTTTTCGAAATTTTCCTTCTAAATTTTTATTAAAGTTACAATAATATATATTTGAGAAATATTTTATAAAGCTATGTTGTATTTGGTCAATTATTTTGTTGTAATCACAAGCCCGTGATGTATATAAATAGAAGGAAGATGAATATACTGAATGATTCTATTATATAGTAGACTGTTAGTCGGTGGAAGGATGGTCTAAACTGCTGGTTTTCGACCGCTACGACCCGGGTTCGATTCCCACATTTAGCACTTTTTTCTGATTGGAAAAAAAAAATGCTCCAATGGCCCCCCGATTCTTGCAAAGGTCCAACCCCACCAGCAAGTGCAATCAACCAAACGGGGCTCTGGCACATTTGTAAGTGCAAAGTCGAACTGCTTTTCACATGTACACGTGTGGTTGCAATAACAGTAAAAGCAGTCGCCTACTTCTGCCCACCATGATTATCATGGCCTGTACCACGTGTACTAGGGATAAGCAAACAAACAATTAGACTGTTAGTTCTTATTTTTATAGTTTTCCAATGAAAAAAAGCTTAATACACCTTATTTATTGACCTAACCTTGTTTGTATGAATGTATGGGAGTTGACAATGCGAGAAGTCCAAATTACAACAACACATGTATCATGTCTTTTTAAGATTAAAAAAAAGGTAAATATATAATCCGATAAAAAAAAAAATCCCTCGAGCCGGATTTGAGCCAGCGCCATTAATATCTGCCCTGCTTTTACAACTGAACTATCGAGGGGTGATTGAATTGACCTAATAAGGTTTAATTAAACTGAATGGAAATAATAATATAATTTCGAATATATCCTTTTTACATATTTTATTATTTCAAAATACATACACATATTCGCGTTAAAATCATCTATATATATAAAAATGAATGTATGTGTGTGTGTGTCTGTTTGTCTGTCCTTTATGCCTGACCAAACCACTCATTGGATCGCCATGAAACTTTGGGAAGTTATTTAGTATAGTACTGAGAAGGTTTCTAGCAAATAAAATTTTTGAAATAACTTTTCGCTTAGAAATAACCAAGATAAATATTCTAATTTATCTGTTATAATTCAACAATCTGCTCTAAATATTATCATGATGATACGATGATTTTGTAATGTAGAAAATTAGGAAAGACAAAATTCAGGATGACACGGCAATTTATTTGAGACAAGAATAATGATACAATTCAAAGGCAAGATACTATTCCTTTAACTTCCAATTACCGAGGGAACCAATTAATATTGATTTTATTCAACTTATCGAGTATTTTTCAAGGGACCGGGAAAAAATGTTCACTTTATCGAGAGATTCGTTAAACAAACCTTTACTCGGGTAAAACCCGGGCGAAGCCGGGTACATCCATACAAGAATAATGATACAATTCCAAGGCAAGATACTATTCCTTTAACTTCCAATTACCGAGGGAACCAATTAATATTGATTTTATTCAACTTATCGAGTATTTTTCAAGGGACCGGGAAAAAATGTTCACTTTATCGAGAGATTCGTTAAACAAACCTTTACTCGGGTAAAACCCGGGCGAAGCCGGGTACATCCATACAAGAATAATGATACAATTCCAAGGCAAGATACTATTCCTTTAACTTCTAATTACCGAGGGAACCAATTAATATTGATTTTATTCAACTTATCGAGTATTTTTCAAGGGACCGGGAAAAAAATGTTCACTTTATCGAGAGATTCGTTAGACAAACTTTTACTCGGGTAAAACCCGGGCGAAGCCGGGTACGTCCGCTAGTTTATAATATAGTTATAGGATGATATAAAAACATGTTCAGTCATATAGAGAGATATTTATAACCCAATTTTTTATTCTAAATGTAAAAGTAATGTTTCCATACAGAAACGATTCCATTGTTACTAATATGTCAAGCCTCTTGAAACAAAACAAGATCAGTAAAATATAACTGTAGTCTTAAAATATATTCGTAAAAGTATTTTTTCCGATTGTCAAGAAAAAAAAAAGAATGTTTATGGCAGAAATAATTATTACGTTTCTAAAAATATTTGTTTATCAATAAGATGATATTTTCATGTTTAATATATTTTATATGACAGATGATATATAATAAAATATATGAAAAACAATAAAAAAATAAAAAGGTCAGGGGTTGGTATTAAAAATAAAAAAGGCATATCCTGACCAGGAGCACATGTGCTTTTCAGAAGGCAGAGCGCCATCTGGTGTAACAGAAATCAACTATTCATTGATTTAGACTGTTCCCTGATATTTGGCCAACTCAAATTCTTGATAAATCAAGAAAAGCCATCCACGAACGCGTTTCGCGCTGTTGGCTCTCGTCAGCGTGAAGTAGGCTGTACCACTACGACCAAAAATATCAGGGAACAGGCTAAATCAATGTTTAGTTGATTTCTGTTCCACCAGATGGCGCTCTGGCTTCTGAAAAGCACATGTGATCCTGGTCAGGATATGCCTTTTTAGTTTAAATAAAATATATGTTTCCTTGTAGGAGCTGAAATCTATAAGGGATTGAAACCGTTCAACACATTTTGTAATATTGAATAAATATTAAAGATTACAATCAGCTGCGGGCCCTCTCTCTGTTGAAATCTTTGGTAGTAGAGGTATAGGGGTGAAAACTAAACAGTAGAACCTCCCTGTAAAGGACACGTAATTGCGGAGCTAAAGTGTACTTTAGCTAGAAGTGTCCTCTTACCGGAGAGTTGCTAAATAGTGAAAATGCTAATTTTACCTATGAAAACTGTCCTTTATAGAGAGGTGTCCTCTAGCGTGAGTGTCCTCTCATGGAGGTTTTAATGTATATCAATAAAATATAATATAAGGAAAATCCCCTCATTTATAATTCGAAGCCCAAGGGACCAAGTGATCGCCCCTTTGAATGTCGCTGGTGTCTCAAGTGACCAGATTTTACCCTCCCGTCTCTCTCTGGGTTGTCTGTAGGTTGGCTTTATTATTCCTGGAATAATATATATTATGACTTTTTTTTCTTTGATTACAAAAATACTAATAAGAATAAACATTCTATAAAAGCAAATAATTCACATTTCTTCAAACAATAGTTTGTGAAAACATCCAATCCAGCAGTACACGGGCATATTTTGAAATTTCTTCAAATGATGATGATTTTATTGATAATGAATTAAAACAATCATCATTATCTATACCAAATCTGAGATATTTGCACAATGAAGACTGAATCTATTCTTCTCAGGATAAATTGGCGCTTGTTACTCTTCTCAACCAAAGCCTTCGAATAAATTGTTTCAAAATTTTGCATGTAGTTAGCTGAATATATCGATTACCATATTGTCGCGGAGATAAATAAAGCAAGGGCAAATTAGGGAATAATTAATTTATTATAAAGGGTATTTACCTTCTAGTTCTCCAATAAAATTTTCTACAAGAGGTATTTATAGGGAGAGAGAGAGTCAGATAATAATATTACTTATCCCAAAGTAAAGATAATAATAATGAGCGTCGTCGGCAACCGAGGCGTTCCGTTTTCCTTATTTGCAGATAAGATTCCGAGAACCCCTCACACCTGTGGTCCCCCCCGGGATAATTGACATGTGTCCCATCTGAATGGAGCTTCTTGACAATATAATCCATTCAAAAACCTGAAATGAGACAAATAACAAACTACTTTACATATTTGTGAGTTATAAAACGTTCATAATTATTATTATACATTCACTAAATGACCCAGCTTTTCTCGGCTTCTTCCCGAGTGAATATTTTCCAGACGAATATGTTTTAATAAATATTATAATTATGATTATATCATTATAAAACTCTAATTAGTAATCATGAAGATATTAATTTATATATTATCATCATTTTCTTTTCATTTTTTTTTTTTACTTTCTCAAATTTTATTTCACTTTAAAATTACAATAATATACAGTTAAACCTGTCTATAGCGCAACCACTTGGGACTCACCAAAATAGGGTTCTATAGACAGGGGGTGCTATAGACAGGTCACTTTTAATGTAAATCGCATCGTACTACGTATTTAAAATCGGGCGCTATGGAGAGGAAGGCGCTATTTAGAGGGGGCGCTATAGACAGGTTTAACTGTAAATTCACATAATAAATAATATTTATATGTATGTGTGGGTTTTCAAGCATTAATTCGTTGAACAAACATTCACTCGCGAACCCAGGTTATAAGATATAATTGCAACGGATTTTTAATTTGAAAAAGAGCATTTTATTTCATACATATGCATTCAGGTAAAATGCACTCGGGTAAATCCCGGCCGTTGCCCGGCCATTCAGCTATTTAGATATACTAGACGGGTGACCCAGGCTTCGCCCGTGATTTTTTTTATAATTGTTTGTTATTAGCATTATCTATTTGTTTGCATCGGCATAATTTAATATAATCTTTGATAGAGGGCGCTGTTCGTGAGCTAAGTAGAATAATTTGAATATATAGTTTTAATAATTGATTTATATATATTTTTAAATAGCCTATCGTCTTCCCCGTATTTTTTTACCTATGTATGGAAATTTTGGTTTGAATTAGTGAACTACTGCGAATTTGTATACCGGACATACAGACAGACAAACATACAAACATTCATTTATATATATAGAGAGAAGAGATAGAGATGTATAATATATAATATATATATATATAGATAGACCGGAATATACCGGAAACGTAGAAACACCAACGTCGAAAAAGAGACCCTTTAAGGCGTCTCAAGATGATAATCTCGATCAACGAGAAAGAAAAAGACAAGAAAAAAGGAAGAAGTCGACCCCCCCAGGAATGAAGACAATCCTACCGCTGTCCACTGATATGGAGACAGAGACAGAAAATATCACAGACAAGTCCACGACATCGATTATATCCCTTGACACTGAAAATGATACCTACAAAAATATCATCGAATTCATCATCTGTTCAGACGACCAAATCAACACCATAAGAGAGATGAAGAGAAAAAATCATTCCCTGGATCATCAAATACAAGTCTTCGCCGAGACACTCCGGGAAAGAAGAAAGAATCTCGAAGACCCTGCAGTGACTTGAAGATGATCTACGACAAGAAAATAGAAGAGGCCGAATGGATCATGAAGAAGTGAGACGAACAAGAGGATATCTCCAAAGAATTCTACGCGAATATTAGGGCTGGAATTTATCCCTGAATGTTACTACCCCTCGACTGTACTTGCCTTTGACTAAATAAAGACCGTTTTTATCGTGTAGATAGATAGATAGATAGATAGATAGATAGATAGATAGATAGATAGATAGATAGATAGATAGATAGATAGATATAATTTATAGAAAACGCCAAAATTATTTTTTATATTACAATTCTTATAATTACTAAACCTTTGATGAAACACTATAGATAGATTGGACAAACAGACACTGGGGTACTCTACGAGGATCATTCGTCTAGCGAAAAAAAATATTATCGCGACTTTTGGATGAAACCATCCGGGAAAACCAAATTATGGTCACCTCTTCAGATTTCTACAAAGTTTCCGAACATCTGGGGTTTCAATATAATTGAACAAAACTGCGCTGGGACATTACGAAGTGGAGAGTACACGGTGTGTCCAATAAATAATGAGACCGGTCAAAAACAAATAAAAAATGAAATGATAATTTTTTTAAAAAGTCTATTTAAAAAAAATAGAAAGCTTCAGCTACACGGTGGTATATCACATCACGTGATTGCGCGCGCAGTCGATAAATTGTAAGCTTGTATAAAGAACG